GTTCACACCAGAAACTGCATCACAACTGCGTGCGTCTGCACAGTTGCATTGTGATCCGTTTTGATGCGTTTTTTCCCCCTGGATGATGCCACAATCAATTTTGTTTTTTTGTATGCGTTCCGTTTTGATGCGTTCCGGTGCAGTTAGATGCAGCTAAAATAGTACTTTTTTTGACTGCATCTGAACAGACTGCAATGATGTGAATACAGCACGAGAAAGCCCATAGGAAAAGCATTGTGACGTATTTTGGCTGCAGCAGTCAAACTGAACGGACTGCATCACAACTGCATATGGTGTGAACTAGCCCTTAAAGCTTTGACAGATCGCTACTTCAACCTAAAACCCAGTCAGGTGAATAAGAAAATAAAAAAAGTGTTGTTTAGACAAGTGCCTCAGGGTTACAGGAATAGTGATCTTATTTGCGTCAAGTTCATGTACAAGGTTGCATTAGCATTCATGCATTTGGTGCAAAGCTTGGAAACTGGTGGTGGCTTTGGAGACAAACTTGGGGACATGTATATGCACAGTGATAAAGTACATAGGTGTGTCATCTCTGCCCTAGGTGTCCCAAATGTGTCGGATACAGATTTCAGTTGAATAGCAACTAATATAGTAATGTGTCTCATTTTCTGACAGAACAGTCACATTGCCCTTTAGCCTTGTAGTCAACATATGCCTGAGACAGATTTCAGTTGGCACCTGAGGTATGTGATATGATGTTATCAAGGCTGTTGATGTGAACCTGACCTGGCTGCAGGTCAAATCAAACACTGGGGAACTGTCAACAGTGGAAGTCTTTCACTTCGGCCAGCAGGATATACAGGGGTGTGGAAATGTTTTAAAAAAACTACCTGCCCAAGGACTAAAGTGGGGGCCCCATCTACTTGTCCCTCATGACAATCTACTTGTCCTGATACAAAAAAAATAATTTTAACCAAAAAACAGTATTTAAGCGTGCTAAGAAGCGCTTCACATTGGTCAGGTCACTGCGCTGACCAACGAGTGATCTCAATTTGTGAGCGAATGTCAAAAACCATAGCGCACGGCTGTGCTGGGTGGCAGTATGGGGTTCGTTGCTGCCCAGCTACCACAATATGTGAGAAAGTGGAATGAGGGCAGCACTCAGCGCACACACACAATGCTCATTTGCATGCAAAATGGCGGGGGCAACAGGGTTGGTTTTAATTTTTATTATTTGTAACTTTTTTTTTCCACTTAACAAGCATTTGGAGGTGACAGGTTCTCTTTATGGAGCCTGCACTAACGTGGGCAGATAGGACGGGCCAGTAGTCTGCACATGCACATCCTTATAAGCACATCCGAGAGTGGGAGTTCCACTGAATAGGCGTGGCCCCTCCTCAGCAAGCTGCTCTGCCTGTTGGGGCGGCGCCGCAATTAGTAGCGTCGTTCCCCTCCAGAAAGTCAGCAGGATCCGGCACCTCCCCCCCGCCGAGGTGAGGGAGGGCACGGGATCCATACCCTCGGTAGGAGCACCGCCCCCTCTAGATCATATATAAAGGGGCGGTGCTTGGGTGCAGACCTTCACCATCTGAGATAATGGATGGGAAATGTACTATTGCTGGGATTTGTAGTCCTCTGTAGCTGGCGTTATTCTGCATTGCACTGTATATAATGTATTATTGCTGGGATCTGATGTATTCCTCTATAGCTGGCATTATTCTGCATTGTGCTGTATATCATTTATTATCGCTGGGATATGTAGTCCTCTATAGCTGGTGGTATTTGCCAACGTTTTCAATCGTCGATTTTAATCGACTTAATCGATTAACTGTTGCAGCTCTACTGCCCTCCAATACATAAATGCGAGCATAGCCCTGTGCTTGATCTCCTGTGCAGCTGAGGCAAGAAGCGCTGTCAGTAGAGTGCTCCTGTCTCACTGTTCACATGGAGCAGACCGGAGAATGGACGTTCTCCTCTCTGCTCCCCGCTCTCCATCTTGAAGTAATTTGCCATAGTCCTGGGTCCCCCAGACGAGTGGGGGGCACCAAAAACCAAAGCGGCAGGGGGGACAGACCATGGAGGTAGGGTCAAACAAGTGTCTAGTAGGCAGAGAGAGGCATGTAAAATAGGTATGCAATGCCCCTGTAGCCAGCGGTTTATTGTTGCAGAACAACCTTGTTGTCTTCCATCAATAAAAGATATGCAAACCATGGATCCCGTGGAGAATAACGCAATGAGCAAAACTATCTCATACAGTTGATTTTAAGTTAAAAAAAAGGATAATTTAATAAAACTCACCTGATTGCTACAGGCAGTGAACCGGTTTTTCTTTGCTTTAGCTATAAAATCAGACTTGCTAATATAAAACATATATTATTCCTCTGAACAACACAGTTTGAATCAAATTCCTAATGCAGGTATTTAAAAAAAGACTAACAATATGAAATTATCCAAGACTAATTATTATAAAATTAGTGATGTCCCGATACCGATGCTAGCATCGGAATCGGGCCCGATACAGGGCATTTTGACAAGTACTTGTCAAAATGCCCCGATGCCTAGCGTCGAAGCTTGCGCTATGGTTTTTTTTTTTCTTACTTACCTCGCCGAGCATCACTGCTGCTCCGGTGGGCGGAGCTCCAGGTGGGGTCCTGATTTAGGTGGCCAGAGACTGCCAGATGACCCCGCTTGGAGCGCTGCCCACCGGAGCAGCAGTGAGGCGACGCTCGGCAAGAAAAAAACCCCGCAGCGGCAGGTCAGGAGCAGGGACGAGTCAGCGGCGGCGCTGGTCCGGCGAGAGGAGCTGCAGGTGGGGTTCTAATTTAGCTGGCAGGCACCTCTAAGCCAGCTAAATTAGGACCCCACCTGGAGCTCCTCCCACTGGACCAGCGCTGCCGCTGACTCGTCCTTGCTCTCTCCGGGAAACAGTGAGTGAGGGCAGATTTGGAGGGGGGGGGGTTTCTATGGTTCTATTAAGCAACTACCATCTATATTGCTACACTGTATTAGCAGTATATACTCTATATGTACTACAGAGTATACATATAGAGTACACACTGCTAATACAGTGCAGACAATACATTTACAACTATACTCTGCTAACATGAATGGATTAAATGATCTGTATGTAGCCCTGTACTATGGATCATTCAACCCATTCATGTTAGCAGAGGATAATTGTAAATGTATTGTTGCAGGCACTCTATATGTACATGTACTATATACTACATATTACATATACAATGCACTGCAACAATACATTTACAATTATCCCCCGCTAATATGAATGCATTAAATGATCCGTAGTACATGATATGTAGCCCTGTACTACGGATCATTTAACCCATTCATGTTAGCAGTGCAGAATTGTATATCTATATGTACTGTACATATACAGCACAAATGTCCCGTACATTGCAGCAATAGATTTACAATGATCCCCTGCTAACATGAATGGGTTAAATGATCCGTAGTACAACTACATGTTATGTACTATTATGTACTATGGATCATGATTTAACCTATTCATGTTAGCAGGGGATAATTGTAACTCTATTACTGCAGTGTACTGGACGTATGTGCTGTATATGTATTATGGATCATGATTTAACCTATTCATGTTAGCAGGGCAGAATTGCGAGCGCCTCCCACAAGCTGAGCACCGAGATGCGATGCAGCGATCCTGCCCAGCGTCGACTACAAGAGGCACCACGTGAGGCAACAGGAGTGCAACTGTAAGTGAGGGAAGCTGGGACGGGGCTGGCTGTAAATCTATTGCTATAGTGTACTGGACGTGTGTAATGTATATGTAGTACATATATACAGCACACACCTCCACTACACAATACTAGTTACAATTCTCCACTGCTAACATGAATAGGTTAAACCATGATCCATAGTACATAACATGTAGTTGTACTATGGATCATTTAAAGTCACCTGTCCCTTTAAGAAAAAGTATCGGTAATTGGTATCGGCAAGTACATGTAATGCTCCAGGGTCCGCGATAGCGAAAAGGATCACAGCTGCGGACTCAATTTTAAATTAAGGCTGGGTATGGCAATCAGGCTTGAACCCCAGGCGTCTCTCTCAATCTCAAGGGAGAGTGAGGGGTTCTTGCATCATCTGCCACAAACTTAAGAGTAAGGTATGGACCATACAGGGGTTATTTAGCTCATAACCCAATTAGGTCAGCAACATAAAGAGGGTGCAATGAAACCGTTTCTATTAGATGAAAAGGATGAACAGACACTGGTGAGAGGAGGGTTATACAATATAGCCAGTATAAGTGACCCTAGTACAATGGCTCCCTGTTCCAAAAGGGGGTGAGCGAGATCAAAGGTCAGTATCACAGTCTATTCTCCTTATGACCTAAGATACTTGCGGTTTCCTGTGGACAGGACAGAGGCAGAGGAACGTCCATAGCAGAGAGGGGTCCGTGAATCTCCTGGTGTAGGTACTGGCTTGTGGAGGGCATCAAGCTCAATAGTGGAACGCTTCCATAGCGTTCACAGGACATTTAAATAGTGCGCGAACCCGGAAGTGACCTCACGGCCGGGTCGTCACTTCCGCGTTCCACGGTGGATCACAGGGAAGTTCCCCCTCTGATAGGGAAATGGTCTGCGTGACACAGCCGCTGCGTTCCATGCTGGAGCGCAGATAGCTCGCGGCCGGCAAGTATATTACAGTACATGAGGGGATGTACTTGTACTTGGGCCTGAAAAAGTGGCATTGGGACATCCCTATTATAAATGATATATTTTCTCCAGTTTAAGTTAAATCTGTAAGATATTATTTTAAAAGGAATTGTGTGTAAAGAATAATATGAAGTAAATGAGACGATAAGGGAAGTCTGCACTGCCATCTGCTGACAGCATGAAGCACAGTGAGTGGAATTATATTATCCAAGAAACCTCTTGCTCAGAAAGTTACATATGTTGAGTTTTTAACCATACAGAACAAGCAGAAACACATTTTCATCCAAAAATATATTTAGTAATAGAACAGTGTCACAATGATGTCAGATTTTCCTTTTTAGCTCAATATTCTAAATCTAATGTTTCATCGTCCAAGTCTGTACTGCAAAAGAGGGATTTACTTGTTCCTAGAGTTTTGTTATTGAGAGGCCCCAGCTGGAAACATTCCCTCTTTTCTCTTGCTCCCAGGTTCCTGGAGGATAAAGGGTTTTCACTTTTAGGGTTAACACCCATCGTGTCAGCTATTGTGTCTTCAGATGACGTGGCAAAGGAAAACTTTGCCAGCTTGGCAAGTGTAAAAGAAGAGACTTTTCGGCAATGTGAGGCCTCCGTCAGCTTATTTTCCTCAATTACCAACACAGAAGGGGGCACAACATGACTTATAACAGGTGCTTCTGATGTGGCAGCACAAGAAGACTTCCCTTGCTCCACAGAACTGGCTTTATCTGAGCTGACTGATACCTCCAACAGCCTCCGGAGTTTTTCTGCAGGGGCAGGTTTCTGCTTTGGTTCAGTACTCACATTTCCTTGCCTGTCATTATCCCCAGAAGCCAACCCATTTTCTATCCCTGGGCCATGTTGGAGTTTTGTCTTTCGTTTAAATGAAAACTTGGCTAGTTGGGCTAATTTAACCTGCAGCTCAGGATCTTGAACATCTGATGTCCCTTTCCCTGGATCTACATGGGCAAGTGACCTTTTTCTGCCTCGGACAGGGGTGCTGTGTAGAGGACCTGCAAATGTAATGTCACCTTCTTCTGAATGATCTCCACAAAGCTCTGTTATACTGGGCCCATCGCTTGTGCCTTTCATACACTTTTTATTCAGTTTGTGCCATTTTTTAGAAACATGTTCAGTAACAACTTCATCCGGCAAATCATTTCCTCTTGTTTTACGTGAGCTTTTTTCTGTTGGTTGCTTTGCTGCTTTTGCATTGTTGGTATTTTTGGTGAAATCACTACCGGTGGCTTCAAGTCCTGGTGGAACTACTTGAGGTATAATGGTTGTGAACTCTGCCGTTTTAGAAATTGGAGAAATATTGATGCCTTGTTTTCCTGTCTTCATAGCGTCAAACCATTCCAGACCAGAACCACTGCTTGTATTTATCTGACAGTTTGAGGCATTCAGTTGTGGTCGGTTAGGCTCTTCAAAAGTTACAAGATGTATGCTTTGGTCTTCTAATAGAGCAGAACTATTTCTGCAAATATTGCTTGTTGCAGAGTTTGTAAGTGATGGGGGAGAAGAACATTCATCAATCTCTTTTTTCTTTGTGGTGTTTGAGCCACAGCTGACATGTCCTCTGTTGGTATGTCCGACTTCTGAAATGTGTGGCTTCCCATTATCACCATGGGGTGTTTCATCAGTGACAGAACTCTCAGTGGTGGCAGTAGTATTATTCTCTCCTTGCTGCTGATGGCTGGTTTCCAGATACTGCTGTCTGTTTTGAAAAGAACATTCATAAAAGTGAAAATGAATGTGAAAGTGGCTAATACACAAGAAAATAAATACATCCTTTTGTTAACCTGACGCACCATTAAAGAAGAACTATGAGGTGAGTGCTTTTCACTCACCTCATAGTTCTAGCCGGCCTGTGGACAATGAGACTGTCACACGTCGGCTCACTGTCGTGACAGGGGAGGGGCTGGATTCCTCCCTCCCACGCTCTGATCCGCCAGCGCTGACTGGCGGATCGGACGGGGGAGGGGGCGGGTACAGCTGGTATGCCTCTAGATAGGCAGAGCCAGCTGTCACTCACGCAGCCGGGCGGATCCAGACATAATTGTCGGGATCTGCTTCAGCTGCGGCGTCTCAGTTTACCGTGAGCTGTAGCTTGCGGTATACTGAGCTTAGGGTGACGGGAGGACGCTAGTTTGTGTCCTCCCATTACCCCAAGGAGAACTATGGGCAAAAGCCTTAACCCCATAGTTCTCCTTTAACTATTTATATTTCACATTACAGACACATTGAGGTTCATATAAAAAAGCTGATCCCAGTCAATAAAACATTTTAGCAAAGTCAATAGATATTCTTGATCCAGGCAATACCAGGCAATATCAACCACCTTAGGTGATCTGGAGAAAAAAAATAATTCCTCCCTGTTGGAGCAAATTGGACCATGCTTTATAGCTTTTTTGCCTTACTCCTCTGGATCAACTGTGGGTATAGGGCTGTTTATAGAGGTTTTCTGTTTATTCATCTTTTTTCTGTATTGGTTAGATGTCATGGATTTTTGTAAACCCAACTATGTAACAGATACTAGTTTCTTCTATTTTAGCCTGCATTACAAAAACAAAAAAACAAAACTAAAATATACACATTGCTCCCATTTAAATGTAAAAGATCCTAAATCAAATATTAAAAAAGTAAATATCCCCAAACACAGGGAGGAATTTATCATAGCAAAGCCAAGTGTTTGAACTCGCATTTGGTCACATATTTGCGCCAGATTTATGTTGCTAGTGTAACGTTGTTCATAAATGAGATCAAATAGACGCAAGGAAAAAAAACCTCAACTCCAGGCAAAAAGCTTAACTGTCGCAGTGGTCATGGGGACGTCTTAAGTAGTGATTGTTTTGTTAGGTGATGCTCCAGTTTCAGACAGCTGCAGAACAAGCGCAGATGTAAACAGTTGCGAACTTTCGCAAAACATGCGCAATCAGGGAAATAGTGCAAACTCTGGTCAAAACAGGCGCACGTGTTAAAAAGGAGCGGCTAAACAGATTTGCACATAAAAAAAATATGATCTAAGGGGCTAAAACTGTCTCAATTGCTTTGATAAATCCCCCCATAATATAGATCATATATTCATTTATCTCTCTATAATATCTACCTCTCTGTAGACGTGTATACAATCTTGTTTTAAAAACAACATTTAATACATGTCAGAGGATTCCATCCTCCAGAAATAATAAAGTTGAATACATATTTCTAATGATGTAAGAAGCAAACTACAACTCTACCTGCTGGCTCTAAAGGAGTAAAAGGACTAAAGGATTTACCAAGGGGCACATGTAGGAACTAGTATTCCGAGTTACAGCAGTAACAACACTACCTACATTACTCCTACATGTATGTCATTGTTGGATGTTTTATAACTCCTGCTTTGCAGGGCTCACAGAGCACCACAGGACAAGTGGATTTATGAATTGCCTCCTGATTGAGCCCTGGGATGCCATACAGTAGCGACTGCAATGAGTGCTTTCGGAGAACAGCGTGCGTAGATGTATTCAGCTTTAATACAATATCTTAAATGTTGAGAAGATTTAGCTTTTATACCTGTTTCAATATATAAAATTTTACCTGAAGCAGAATTGGAAAAATAAACATTTATACTTCGAAAATACTATAAAATGTGATATCCATAAGATTTGGTATCTAGTTACAAAACCACCAATGCAAATGTTGATTTGTATTTTTGTACAGGAACATAGTGGAAAAAGTACAAACTCTATAGCTTTTTCTTTCACTTACAAAGGACAATGATAGGCTTATTTACCTTTCCAGTCTCTGCAACTCTTCCATCAGTATATTTTGAAGTCCCAGTCTTTCCAGGAGAAGTTCACACTGCATTTGGTACTGCTCTTTTGGATTATCTGGAAATGATGTATGCAGAGCGTTCACCCCTCCTAGTAAAGCACCTCCCTACATTGACAAAAGAGCATTCCATTAGATTCCATTCTCAGAAAAATTCTCCATGACACATTCTATAAACCATTTTTAAGCTTCTTTAAAAAGTATTTCCATCAAATGACTCACTTTTTGCAATAAAATCCTTTTTTAGGACTACATTACAGGATGGTATTCAGGAACATAGGGTTAGGCTGCTCTCTTCAGGAGATTTGACACTGGCAAAAGAAAAGCTGTAAGGACAGCCCTGTATAACCCCTGGCACTTACAGCAAGCATTGGATTGTTGCTAAAGACACAGATGTCTTCTCTTATCTCAGAGAAGCAAAACATTTTTAATTTTTACAGCACGTTTCTTCAATTGCTACAGAGGCCCTAGGGCTAATTGTGCAGCTTATTGAATTGGCTTATCATTGGCATAGCCTTGGAGGCCATATTCAGTCCCCACTGGGAAGAAGACATGGAGCCAGCCTGTAATGTGCCTTTTGTGCACTGGACACTGTGGCAGGTGACGACCCTTCTGTACTAAAGGGGCAATATGGGTGGAACCACAGAGTTCTTTATAGGTCCAGTACTGTGTTTCACACTTCAGTGGTCCCCTGTCCCTGAACAAGTGTGCCAGCTGGAAAAAATCAGCGGAAATTCTGAACCTGTCTGAGTCGCCCTCTGTGTGGTGGAAGCTTTTCTGCCTTTATGGGGAGCCCTGGGGTTTGAGCCTGGCAGTGTGGTACATTCTTGCAGGGGTAATGTGGTGTCAATAGCTGAGACATTTACTTCACAGCTAGAGGCAGGTAAAACGCAGTACCATTTAAAACTGGCACCATTTCTGTCTCAATGGCCAATTGTCCTTTGGAGCCTGTGCGGCCTCTGTTTCCCAGCTTATTCTGCACATGCATGCCCCACTCTGTCAGTCGAATGGGTATGCCACTGCATTCCTTACCGGTAAACTCCTATATGAGATGGGTGCTGAAATGACTGCGGATGGCACAGATCCAAACAATGTAGAAACAAGATGTCACCTGCACACTTGGATATGTTTCCAAACAAACATTCTTTATTGACGCATATTTTCACAAAGATGGCAACTTTTAGGTTAATACTGAGCCTGATGAAGAGACCCTGTGTGGCCCCGAAACGTTGTTACCTTTGTGAAAATATGCCTAAATAAAAGGACGTTTGTTTGGACACAAGTGTACTGGTAACGTCTTGTTTACACTGTCAGAGCACACACAGCCGGAGCCATGCTGCTGTTAAGCTCTTCAGTCTGCACACACCCACCGATCCTCAGAACATCTTGGAGGTCCCTGCTGCCTTCAGTGACAAGGCCACTTTTGGCTGTTAACCTTTCCTGCTCTGCAGAGTTGGGAGTACCACTTCTGGGAATGCCTCTTTCTTGCACAGTAATAGTGAATTGTAAGCACAGAGACAGCACTAGCAGCTATGCTTTGCCATTGTCCAATCTCCTAAAGGGAGCAGCATAACCCTACATTCCTGAATACCAACCTGTGTCTTGTAATGTACAATAAAGAAAATTATTTTCTAAATAGAACCATAAACGGATTCTAGCGAGAAAGATGCAGCGAGTCTACCATGTAAACATCACTTATCCCTTTCATTCCAAGGATGTCTGGGTATCATTGGCCTGTGGCTCCATCTGCTGGGGTGCCAGATAATTTCTATGGACTTGTAAGGGTCCAAAAAACAGGGAGGTTTTAACCAATGGAATCCAGAAGTACTCAGTAATACCTATAGGATTGTCATAAAATAGTGCAAAGGGGTAAAAAAGAAAAAAAAAAAAAACCTTCTCAAAACAACCGGTAAATATACTGAAAATGACAGTATACCTAGAGAAAGCTTGGAGGTTTCCACTGCTGACTTTTTTGGGAAAACGCTAATCGCGTGGGTGTTATATTGACCCTCTTGTTTCATTAACCTAGAGCAGGGGTGCCCATTAGGTAGATTGTGATCTACCAGTAGCTCTTAAAGCTGATGCTGGTAGGTCACGAAGGGTGTGAATAACGGCCCCGTTATTCCATTTTGGTATATTTATTTAGCTGTGCACACACGATTACCTATTAGCCCGAGTCTGCTGAGCCAAGCTCCACGACACCTTTCTAGTGGATACTGGTGGTTGAAGTGCTATGTATTACATCAAAGAATATTAGTTACCTGTTGCAAAATACAGCAAGGCGAGGCGAGAGAGAGCACGAGGAGAGACAGCCAGGAGAGCGCGAGGAGAGACAGCCAGGAAAGAGAGAGAGAGAGAGGACAGCCAGGGGAGAGGGAGAGAGAGGACAGCCAGGGGAGAGAGAGCGAGGAAAGACAGCCAGGAGAGAAGAGACAGCCAGGAGAAAAAACGAGGAAAGACAGCCAGGAGAGAGAGAGCGCGAGGAAAGACAGCCAGGAGAGAGAGAGCGCGAGGAAAGACTAGAGCTTGTATGCAAAATAGGACCTTTGGCATTTTTTTTTGTAACTTTGCTTATTTGGAAAATACTAAAGCCAGTACGGCAGGATAACAGCCAGGCATTTTGCTTTAGGGCCATATTTAAACAGGCATGTTGGGGCAGTGTTACAAATTAGACTGACTCGTGGATAAGACATATATGGTACATGGACACCATGCTTTGTTTTTAAAGTGGTAGGTTATCCAGACAACATAACTTTACGCCACTCTAGATAATTGTTCTTTTGGTGTTATTATTAAAGTACCCTTTATAGGAAATATTACAAATATTTTCATTTCACTCCTTTTGAGAACTAGATATAAGGAATTAAAACAATAGATGTAAAAAAAACAAACCCCATTAGTTCCTTAATGTTCATCTGAAAACTCATGATATAACAGAATGTGCTACATTCTTTCAAAAGACACAAATAAATGGAATTGAGAAAAGTTTAGAACATCTGCTTTTTATAATAAAATGTGAAACAATCAATCTGTCACAGGCTTTAGGTTTAATAAATATACTTACTTGCATAGATGACTCCATTACTGATACTACAGTAATAGCATCTTCTATAGTCACAACATCTCGATACATCAATCTCGCATGGGCTAGAGAAAAACAGATAATGCTGTAAAATAAATCTTCATACGATACATACTGTAGAAAACCTTTCTCTATGAAAATGCCCACAGTTGTACAATTACAGAGCAAGCATAGAACCTATGGAATTTATTATAATATTTCTAATATTATAATATTTCTTTGAAAAGAGCCATATCCCTGTATAGTAACCATATCCCTGTATGGTAAAAAAAATAAAGAGCATTCCCTTTTTTCTTTAACGAACCAAAGGCTTCTTGCACCCATTTAGCTTTATACCCTCCTAAGCATGTTCCATCTCTCCTTGTCTGCTTTCTCCCTCAGAGTTTACTCCCGCCTTCCAGCTTCCCTTTAGAGATGGGAAACTTCTCTTTCCTGTCAGCAGTACTGGAGGGTTCCTGCACACAATTAGCTTTAGGGCCTGTTTTAAGGGCTTTTGTTCGCATTAGATGGGTTTTGCATCCCCATACAAGTCTATGGGAATGCAAAACCCACTTAAAGCTCAGAAGGAGGTTAACTGCAGGCTAAACGCACGTCTCAATGAATTCGGAATGATCTCAGAAGAGTATCAAATGAACTTCAAATACAAGCCCCAAAACTACAGTACTCGGTACAAGTACGAGTACATGTACCGATACTTTTGAGCTCCAAGACTACACTAGAGAAAAATTCAAAAATTAGGAGGCAGCTGTCATTTGTAAGGAGCACACGGAGCTCCTGGGATTTGTACAGCTCTGCTTTAATGTACAATTTTGTTTTTATAACTATAAATAAAGGGATGCACAGATACCAGTTTTGCGAGTACGAGTACTGGTACTTGCCGAGTACTTACAAGTACGAGTACTGATACATTTTTGTTTATTGTCATGTGACAGTTTTTCTAAAACAATACAGACTAATGATTTCAGGACAGTGGTGGAGCGCCAGAGCCAGGTTTCAGCTGCAACCGCTGCAACTCTGGTAGTTCTCATGAAAATGCCAAGTATCTGCACTGGTACTCGAAAAGTATCTGTGCATCCCTAAATATAATACAATTAAAAAAATGGTCCAGTACATAGGAATTCTGGGGGCGCTGCCTGATCCGTACCACAGTCAATAGAGTACAGTAAAAGTGCAGGCAGGACACTGGACAAAGCTCTAGAGACAAAATTGAAGTGAAATAGTTTGATAAATATATGTAATTATAGCAGATTACATTGTATTCTGTGTATTCTGTGTAAATGTCATGTTTTCACTTTTTAATTTCCCGCCGGCCCTGCCCTCCGCTGTGACGCCCGAAAACTAAACTGGAAGCCGAATCCTGGCATCGGCCGGGCGAACACAGCAGAGGACACCGCGGGCTCGCAGGGACAAGGTAAGTGACACTTTTGCGCAATCCCGAGTGTGGCTCGGGGTTACCGTTATTGGTACTGAAAATTAACCCTGAGCCACACTCAGGATTACCGCCAGGGAGGTTAATGCAGGCCCTTATATATAAAGTATATAATGTAGGTCAATGGGAAGCGAGGGAGTTATGTTCCAGACCTTTCTCAACACTGTCATAAGTAATAAAATACAGGTACGTTATATTTACAGCTGCTGCATGAGCGCACACAAGGAGCTTTAAATAAAATATACCTGTAATATGTAACTTATGTCAATTTTGAGTGAGGCTAGGAACCTAGCTTCCTCACTTTTCACTGACATCATTTACTGGGTTTTCAGTTTGCACCAGTTTCTATTTAGAACCATGCCTTGTTTTGAGAGAGGCCTGGAACCCAACTCCCTCACTCACCACTGACATACATTTTATATTTTGTTTCAATTTACAACACTCCCAGAAAAAGGGAGCTATTGTCAACCAGTGCAAATTGAACCGTTGTAAACTGAGCCCTCGTTCACACCTGACCGTTTTGTAGCGCGTTCTACGCTCGACGAACGCTCTACAAAACGGTCAAAAATATAAATTGCATTGTAGTCAATGGCCTCGTTCCCACCTTGCCATATTTCCGCCCGTCCCTAACGCCCTACAAAACAGCCCACGCCTGAAAAGGTCCAGGTACTACTTTGGGCCGTTTTGTAGGGCGTTTTCCATTGGGATACAGCCAAGTAGCCTTCGGGGTCGCGCAACTTTTTTACCGCGAATCGCGGTACAAAAAAACGCGCGACAGACGCGCATATTACAATACGCCTGGGTGTGAATGGGGCCTAAGGGCCACCTGTACATTATTGTGTAGTACATGCATTTTTTTGGTTTGCAAAGTCTCATGATGTTGATGCAATGGATGACTCCACACAGTGGCGAAACCAGAGTTCTGGGCGCCCGGGTCAGAAATTTCCCCCCCCATTATATAAACAACCACTGGAACTGTACCCTGCACCTCCCCCCCACACACACATGTTTTTATTTGAATTTTTCAAATTTTAATATTTTATTTTTTTTGAAACTTTTTCATTTTTTTAAATCAATTTTTATTAATTAATTATTTTTTTTTTAAATATTTTTTACTTTACTTTTAGGGGCTTCGGGGAAATATTGGGGGTCTAAACAGACCCCTGATATTTCCCTTTAAAAATAGAAAAAGAGATTGAGGACACAGAGTCCTCAATCTCTTTTTCTGTGTCCCCTGTTATCAATGAACAGGAATCCTTTATGAG